GGGAAGGGACAGAGGGTCAGAAAGAGGGGGGGAAATAATTCTAGGAACTAGAAATGGAAAATTTTTTGTAATGTGCATGATTGAGTCACTATGCAGTGTGTACTGGATGGGAGATCACATTTTGTGTGCTGTGATGATGCTTAGGGAAGGAATGTAAATTGAGTTACAAAAAAAAAGTTTCAGGAAAAAAAATAATATATCTATTCAATGACTGCAGTAGGATATGTAGCCCCAGCTAGGTGCTACTTTATAGGATGCATAAAATTAGACTTGTGTTCATGGAAATGTGTGTGTCACCTGTGTTTGCTATGAGGGTATTTGGATCGATTAGAGTCTTTGGTGATTCAATAAAATGTGGGGGGGAAACAGTATAGAAAGCAAACATAGATACCAGAGACAGTGAGGGAGGAGAGTGGGAGATGGCAGATGGTAAGAGATAGGGAATCAAGGATAGGGGAAGGGAAAGCAAAACATACAGAAAACAAGAAACGGAAGATCATTTGCTGACAATAACATGTTTGTTGATGTGCTTGATTGAGACAATATACAGTGTACTCTGGATGGAAAAATCTCATTTTGTATGCTGTAATGATGTACAGTGAATGAATACAAATAAATAAATTGAAATAAAAAAATCGTTGTCATTTTATTACAAGTGAATTAAATCATTCTACATAATAACAAGTTTATAAATGTAGAAATAATTCTGAAAATTTAACAACTCATCAGTGGAGTTATTTATTTGGCCTGAAGATAATTATATAACTTTCTCCTTTCAATAAAATAAAAACAAGATTAATAGATATTTTCGTGGAAAATTTTATTTTTCAAGAGAAGTTTTCGATATTGTGCATGGGCACTTTCCAGAGAGACAAAAAGAGAGAAGTCAGCCCCCCAAAGGGGAATGGCCACACTGCAATCCCTTCTGTTTCAGTCTCCTTTCATGATTTTGGGCATGCACACACATGCACCAGGTGTGAGTTTCAAGCTGTGGGGTCCAGGATTCAAACAGTGGTCAACTACATGGGAGTCCAGTGATGTAACAATTTCACCATTTGCTTACTCCATGAAACTTTTTTGTTTTGTATTTTCATATGTGCTATAAAAAAATATGTGCTATATACTCTATATCAATCTATTCTAAAGAATAAACAATGCATATGCTTCAAATAAATGATATATCTGAACACCTATATGAATTAAGCCAGTTTCCCGGCCAAACCCCCATCTGTGTTGACACAGCCCTGCTTTTTCCTGTCTGTGAGGGAGCCCCTCCCCTAGGGGCACTGTCTCCTCTTGAGGTTTCTGTAGGGCTCCTGCAGGCACCCACATCTCTGTGTTCTCTCAGAGCACAGAAATACACTGCGGAGTCAGTGAGCTGTGAGGCCGAGATGGTGAGGTTGATGGAACGGGCTGATTTCAGGAAGGTCAGAAAATACCGACCCTCTGATGCATTCTTCTCATTATAAGAGTCTTGACGAATAAGAGCAATCATTTCCCCAGTGGGCGGCTGTTTGTACCAGAATAAAGAATAAGTAGTATCACTGGTTTCATATCCACAGCCCAAGGTCACACTTCCCTTCTCCATCACTGAAGTTGCCGTCTGGGCTTGAGTTACCGTCTGGGCCATGCTGGAGCCTGCAGGAAAGAGAAAACAAATAGACTTATCCCCACCTCCAGCCAAGGGGACATAAGGGATGATGTGGCTTAGACTCAGCCACCTGCTTTCATTGCCCAGGAGGCCTCCCCACCAGGACCCCTTAGACTACAGTGATCTCCTCTCTGACAACTCTCAGAGCTGCTGGTTCCTGAGTCCTGTGTTTGTGGTCTCCCTTACCGAGACAGATGGAGGCCATGACTGTCCTCAGCAGGCTGGAGGTCAGCATGCTGGTAGCTCTTCCCCCGAGTGCCATGTCCTGTGTTCTAGCTCAAATCCAGATCGTAATTCTGCACCCTGTCTTCCAGAGCACTGCACAGTTGGTAGGCGTTGTGATGCTTCTGCCTCACACAGGAAGCACAGTGTGCAGATGCAGGACAGGGGTGCCTGTGTCGCGTCACATGCTTCCTGTGTAACTGGAAACTGCTAGCCTGCCCTGAGCACCCATGTGTCTTATTATAACTTATTGGACTGGAAATAAACAGTGATGAAATTGAATTATTTCTTTTTTATGTAGAACGTGGCACTTTTATAGAATATACTTATTATAAACTGAAAGGAATACATGGGATAACATAGATGTGCTCCTTTTGGTCCTTAAATGTGATACTTTTTTCGCAGATAGAATCAAAATGAAAAGTGATCAGAGTTTTGACTGTCCAGTGGGAAGACAAAATATTTAGTCTCAGACTTTGTTCCTTGCAAGTCATTGAATCCAATAAATCTTACATGAGAAATAGTTGATTGTTAGTGAATAATTTCATATCCCACCCCATTTTGTGCCATGCAAGTAACAAGAAAAGAATACACACAGGTATATATGGTGCACATGCATTTTCTCTCTGTGTGTGTATTTAAGCAACAAAAAATTTACAAAATTCTAGTCAGTGTGCAAATACAGAAACTTCTGTTACAACATGATACTTGTGTTCCTGTAAAATCCTCTTGCTTTCTCAAATAAGACACATTAACTATCAATTTTCTTCAGAGGGATTTTTGCTATAGGGCACGTGCACTTGACAGAGAGACAGAAAGCAAGAAGTCACTCCCTAGAAAGATGGCCATGCCTCAACTCAACCCCTTCTCCTCCATTCTCCTCTTGGAAGTTTGGACCTGCACACACATGCAACTGGTGTGAGTTTCAAGCCTCTGGGTCTGGTACTAGAACCACAGTCAGCCATGTAGGAGTCCCACATGTTAAGCACCACGCCACCTGCTGGCTCTGCAAATGATCTTTCATATAACAAAGTTAATGTCACTTCTCAGGAATGTACGCCATTCTAAACCTCTGAGCAGAAAACAGAGTTATTCTTGGGGAAAAAAAAAATAAGCTTCACTTCCTCCTTAAATTGTCCCTCCCCCATTTCCACTCCAAGAACTCCACGATTTCTTGGGTCTGGGGTTTCAGAGCTGGAAGTATTTGAGGAAGCCTTCAGTCTGTAACACTGGGGACAGAAAATAATCCCCCTTTAAGGACTTTCCACGCCCAGGCCCCACCTGCCCGCTCTGGTTTGTGCTCAGCTCCCCCTGCAGTCCCCCTCACTGTGTCTCCCAGAGCGCAGTAGTACACAGCCGAGTCTGACGTTTGCACGGAGGGTTTCTGCAGGTGGAAGGAGCTGTTGTCCTTAACAAAATCAGCATGAAAATCTTGATTCTCTGTCCTCTGTTTTCCTGTTGAACTCTTCAGGAGTAGTTGAGGAGCTTTACTGAGATACTGGATATACCAGAAAAGGAAGGGAGTTTGAAAGCCGCTAACCTGGTAAGTGCAGTTCAGAATCAGAGGTGCCCCCTCAGAGAGAGTAATTGGACCTTCTGTCTGGGTCACTGAGGCTCCATTGCTCCTCCCTAAACAAGATAAAGAATTTATGTTGTTATATATGAAATTCATAGCAGACGAGTGTCGGTTGAGCAAGAGGCTGTATTTTATAATATTAATAGAAAAATAAAATGGTATAAATGCTTAGGAAGAAATATTACTCACTGAATATTAAGAAGATCATAAGAATTAAGCAGGTGACAGAAAGCATGTTAGAAGAAATGATCTGTGCTCCCTGCAGTACACCAGATCTGGAAAGTCTAGTTTACTGTGGAATCTTAGAGAAACTCCTCACTCAAACTAAGAGCCTCTTTCTGCACAACAGTCTCTTTTGCTTCTGCAAAGAAAATATGCTTGTCAATCACCACCTCTATGCAAATATAAACCACATCTGAATGAGACATTGCCTCCTGGTGGTTTCCCTGGAAATTGCACCACAACCATGTCTTACCCAATAAAACAGCTGGAGGGGAATGTATAGAAGAATGGAGTAGGACTCTGAGAAGAAAACATTACATTCATTTTACGGTTTCACAATTATGATGGAGACAATATTCAATTAATTGAATTGCTATAGTTTTCCGAAAACACTAGGGTTAGGATTACTGTAGACAATAGTTCCACAACTTGTTTGAAATTTATGTATTTCAGGCATGGTAGAGAGCATAGGCACATGCACGTGGCAGGTGGAGGAGAGGGAGAGAGAAAGCACCCCACACACACAACTGAAGCATCTAGGTGTGTGGATCCGTGTAGCAGAGAAGGATTTGGAGAGGAAGAGAGCACACGTGCACCTGAGAAAACATACTCCAGAGAACTCGAGGGCTTCCTTTCAACCACTGACTGATTTCTGCACATGTGAGAGGGAACTCACAGAGGAAAGGTAGACAATAGGCCAAGTAATTTCTAGGTTTAGTTGTAAACGCACAGATACAAGGGAGAAAAATCAAAGAAAATTACTCCAAGGCTCTCTTAGTCTAGTTTCTGGAAATCAGTAATAACAAGAGCATCTTAAAAGCAACCAGGGAAGAGGACCAGCAGATGCTGTATGGTTATGTCATTGTATTCCCACATAGTCAACCACGGTTCAAGTCCCGGACCTGGAAGCTTAAAACTCACACTGGTGCATGTGTATGTGAGACCTCCTTGGTTGAACACATTTTTCTGAGTGGGGAAGGCTGTGGATTAGAAATAAACTCAACAACAAACACACAAAGATACACAAGTATAGAAATGCGAGCATCAGGTGGGCCTGACTTCTCTGATGGAGAAAGTCAGGGCCCAAAACCAGCTCCAGGTTTATTCTTTTAAAGGGCAGAAAATGGGGTAAGAGAACATCAAATGCAAAGAGAATGGGGGAAGAGGAAACGGAATCCAAAGACAGTGGTTTGGGGATGTAAATCGTCTGAAGATGTGAAAATGACTGGCACAATGTCATTTATCTGATCTTTTGGGAACTGATTTTTTTTTATTTTTTATTTTTTATTATCATCATAATCTTCTTTATATTACATTGGATTACATGTAACTTTACAGTGTATTACATTGCTTTTTCAAAAGGGAATGCCATGCATGACAGTCAATACAGAGACATTAATCTCCCCGCTTCAACATTCAATATCTTTTCTATGTTTTCCCCAATCAGTATTAATATTATTCTAATTATTTTTTAAAACAGTCAATCGCTGTTTCTCATTTTGCTTGTAAAAATACTTTGCCCATTGTGAAGTACTTCTCAGACCAATCCAGTTGGGAATGCTATATTGGGGACTGATTTTGATAAATACATGTGACTTCCTTTAGCCTCATACTGCTCTGCAGTATCAAGTATCTGATATCAACAACAGGAAGATAAGCCATCACAACAGGCAGAAACCGTTTTTGTATGTACTCTCATAGCCATTGCTAAAGAAGCTCACAGAAGCACGTTTCTGCATGCATCAAACGTCACATGTTTTCTCAGATTGACCACTCTCTACATGCATGGATGCCCAAAATCCCAAGAGGAGAATGTAGGAAAGGGGATTGCAGCATGGCCATCCTCGCTGGGGAATGATTTCTTGCTTTTTGTCTCTCTCTCTCTCTGGTAAGTGCATGCACCCTATAGCAAAATTCTCTCAAGTAAGTAAATAAATAGAACCAGGGTGAAGGGAAGCAGAATGAAGAAGGACACATCATATACAGAAGATCACAGTGAAGCATGACAGCGGACTTTTGCTCACAATCAATGCATGTTAGGATGTGTCTTTAAAGTGCTAAAAGAAAAAAGTAATGTAAAACAACTGAAGCATCTAAATGAGTGGATCAAAACCATAACACTGCATTGTGGGGCTTTCAATATATGTAAAGTAAAAATATTTTGCAACAGTAACATGAAGAATAAAGAGTGTTATAAGTTTCCTTTACTATATGAAAATGGCAAAATGCTATTTAAAGTAAGACAGTGACAAATTAAGCATGTATTTGAAGAGCCATCAGTTCTCAAACTCACCTCTTGACTCCCTTGATTTTATCAAGAGATTCCCAAAAGACCCCAAGGAGGATTTATTTGTGTGGGGCGAAAGTAGAGATACATTCCACTATTAGAATGATGATATGCTCACATGTCATGAAGCTTCTGGAAAGTTTGTATGTGTAATTATGAGAATATTAAAGTGAAAAAGGCCAATAGTGGGCCTGCAGGTGGCGTGGTGGTTAAGGTGCTGGATCTCGCCTGACATACCTCATTGAGTCCCAACCCGGCAGCTTGAAATACACACTGGGAGCCACCCTCTGTCTAAAATGCCAAGAGGAGAAGGAAAGGCAGTGTGCCTGGGGGGAGATTTCCCACTATCCATCTCTGTCTGTCTCTGTCTCTCTAGCAAGCACATGGACCCTGTAGCACATTCATAGTTAGAAAGGCAAATAGTGGATGGCATCATTATGAAAGTGGTCTGGTATGCCAGGCTCCCTGAAAGGTTCTCCCTGGGAGTCCCTGGACTGTACATGGAAGGCCATTAGCCTTTATGATGGGTACTGAGGTAACCTGGTTCTTGAAATGCCATCTTTTCACTGTTTGTCATATCATTATTTTAATTCAAGTAACTTTTTTTAAGAAGGTTTTAGTTGCTTAATACTTTTGGCCAGACTCTTTTTATTCCAGAGACATTTATCTGGTATTTACCTAATTCCTATTAATTTAATTAGGTATTTCTGAAATCTAAGTTAAAAGTATTGTTTGCTCAGTGTTTCTTGGCTGTTTTTCTCTTTCTTTCTTTCTTTCTTTCTTTCTTTCTTTCTTTCTTTCTTTCTTTCTTTCTTCCTTTTTGTTATTATTGGCTGTTTCTTTACTTTAATTGTGTAATTTTCATGAAAATGAAACAAGAGCAGCAGAAAAAAAAGTTTAATGAACTATTTGGGACCAGCATATGGTATAATGGTTACATTGCTGGACTCCCATGTCGTTGACCATGATTCCAATCCCAGACCCCATGCCAGGCACGTTTGTGTGCATGTCGAAATCCCAAGAGGAGAATAGAAGAGAAGGGATTGCAGCATGACCATCCCCCCGAGAGGTGATTTCTTGCTTTCTCTGTCTGCCTCAGTCTCTCCAGCGAGTACATGTACCTTATAGCAAAAATATGTCTCTCAAAAAAAGAATTATTTATATAATCTTATTTATCATTATTATTCTTTTTTATTTGCTATCAGGTACAAGTGCTCACCAGAGAGAAAGAGGAAAAGTGAGAAAGCAAGCCATCAGGTCCAGGCTATGAACCACAGTTGGCCCTATGGAAGTCAGCGCCTTAACCATCACTCCATCCACTGGCCCCAACCAACCAAAACTTTTAAAGAACCATCTTCATACCTAATCTTTTCTCTAGGATTAGGTTTACTTTTTACAAGGGCTAAAAGTAACAAGACAAAGCATTATTCTCTGCTTACATAAACCATTGGGACTTTGTTCCTGCAAACAGCTGTTAGATTTTCACATGGGTTCCCAGGGGTGGGGCGGCCAACATAGTAACAATGACCATGAGTAAAATTAGGTGAACACAGAATAATCTTAAGCCAATTATAAAGATTTACCCCAAATTGAGTTTGCTACCCAGTAAAACTAACTTAGACTGCTTAATTTTGAGGAGACTCACCAGGCTGGCAACATTCTCTATAGATCACCTCGCTTAGACTAGTGAGCATGCTCAGGAGGGCCTAAACGCAAGCATTCATTCCAGAAACTCACAAAGTTACATGCAATGTTTCAAACTCTACAGAAGAGCACATCCATGGAACAAGACATGATTCTAACCCAAATTGGTTCTAGTCAAGAGAGGAGTGAATAAGAAAAACAAATCCTGCTCCCTACCAAGATTCCCACTAAGCCACATCCAGGAACATGGAATAATGGATTAGGCTGGAAAGAACTGATTTATCTTTAATCAAATAAACCATCTGAATATCTTATTTTCAGTATTTAGATCTATTTTTGTTCTTTGTTTGCCCTCTCACTTTCTTAATCATGGTAGCTAGATGTCCACCCTCCTCTGCTCAGGGGTAGGAGGTGAGAATGTCAGGGTAGAAGGCGGCACTTGCTTTCAGATTTGGGTGCCTCCTGCTTTCTCCATTCTCTACCTCTCAGCACCTTTGTGCTCTGACTAGCTTCCACCCAGATTTAGTATCGTGTAACTTTGGGAATAAAGAAAATGAAGTTTGCAGAGTGGTTAAGAAGGATGTTGCTTTAATATATGTCTGTGTGCATGTATATATATATATATATATATAATAATATCTAGTAGAGCAAAAATTGAAGATGCACATAACGTGGTATTCCTTGTTGAGGGCAATGACTATGGTAATAGCCTTGATTTGATGATCACACACTGCATCCATGCTTTGAAAATTCATATTGTACCTCATAAAGAGATACAATTACATGTAAATGAGAAATTATAAAAAATGTGTAAAAAGAAAATGAAGTTTTATGTTAATATATTTTAAAGTGTATTAAACTGTGTTTGAAAATGATGAAGTTCTCCATTTTGCTTACAAGTCCAATTATTTGAGGAGTGAGTTCTGGAATTTGGTCAATTTCAAACTTACTTGTGACTAAACTGTAGTTCCTGAAGCCCACTTCCCATACCGCTGCTGGCTCCTTCCACCTTTTTTCAATCTAGAGCCCATGATATGGAGGAAAAATAAGGCTGCCCTTACCTTAAAGGAGCGCTTCCTCTCCTCCTCCCTATGCCCCCAAACTAAATATTTTGAGATGTAGTGAAGTGTTTCCTCATGCAATTCAGATTTTGCTACCGGGGTCTCATAGAGCAGAGGCAGCACACCTTTGTCAGTCCTTGAGCTGGATGGGGACAGTGCTGAAATAAAATCACCAACTGCACAGAGACCTCTGTGTGCCTTGTCCAGAGCTGTGAGAGATTCAGGAGTGCCAGTAGATTTCCAGAAACATATAATCATTTGGAGGTGATAAGATATGTATTATTATCGAGGTATTCAGCATAGAAAGCTTGGATAGGAGCGAGCTCCACTCTTGACTGAGAACACTGGTTCAAGTCACTTCACCTCTCTGAACCTCAGTTTTCTCATCTATAAAAGGAGATTAATTCTCTTAACATTGGCTCATGATATTGTGAGAAGCACATGAGCCACTGTTTATGAAAGCACTTTGTAAAACTAGGTGGTGCAATTGAGATGGTTTTTAAATTACTGGATGAAGTACCAAAGTCAATAATTAAGTGACAAGGCTTTCCATAAGAAGGAGATGTCTCTGTGGCTGCAGTGACCAGGCTATCCTTCGTGGTCCAGTCTCCAAGACTGGGAGAGGGAATGATGGCAAGCACTCAGACAGGAGTGGTGATGCAGGCAGAGCTATTTACAGAGAATGGTGACTGCCCACCTCACTGTTGAGTTAGACTTACTCTGGTGAAGCAGAAAAGTCATGACATAATTGTAGACATCATGGAGAGACAAGGCAAGACTTTAACCTTACACCTACAGGTAAAGGACGGTCACAGAGGGTTGTTAACAAGGGGATCAATATGATCAATGCTGCATTTTAAAAGGGTAACTCATTAATGGGATGTGAGGTAGATTATGGGGAGGAGATTCTGGAGGGAGGAAGGTCATTTAAAAGGCAGCTACAGAAAACAGGTGTGAGATGCTGAGGACCTGAATTTGGGGTAGTAATTAGCAAGTTAAAGGGGAAGTTCAAGTCCAGCTAGTAAGCTATTGGGTTCTTGGTATTGGTAGCAGAGCATCTTTGCAAATATATATTAAAAAGACCCAAGTGTTTGATTGAGCAAACATTTATTGAGCATGTGTTAAATGAGGACTAGTATGAACATCAGAGGGCTATGAATATGGATTGAAAAGAAATTATATTCTCAGAATTTAGTCAATGAGATAATGTATAACTTTTAAAACTTTATTAAATATAATATACATTCAGAAAAGTGCACAAAACGTAGGTGTAGAGCTTCATAAATTTTCACGAAGTGAACTTACCTATGTAACTAGCACTCTGTTTCTGAGAAACAGATGATTACCAACATCCCAGAAGCCTCCATTGTACTTTTTCCCAGTCGCTGTCTCCCAATAAACATTAGCAGTACACTGACTCCTTTTACATATAATTTCATAGGCTAGGTTTATCTACTTTTGAATTTCTTTTGTTCCTAAAATCTTTCACTCATTAATATTTGTGGAACTTGTTCTACATTGAGCATATGGCCAGTTTCTTCATTCTCATTTTTGTGCAGTACTTCAATATCACAACTTATTTATTCTTGAAACTGTTGATGGACAGCTGGGTTTTTCAAACTTAACTCCATGACGTATCATCTATTATCACCATTTACAGATGAAGAAACTGACAGGTTAAAGAATATGTCACAAGTCATGCTTCAATGGAGATGACACAACTTGAATCTAGCCAATTTCTCTTATTTATTTTTATTTTTAATTTTATTTTATACATTCACGTCCAACATGAATGCTCTCCACACCCGTCCAGTCAAAGATATTATACACATTATCCTTAACAAACATTCATTTCTATGTCCTTCAAATGTCTTGCCTCTATTTTTCTCCCTGATTCCTTACCTCTCACTCTCCCCCATCTCCCACCCTCTTCCCACACTGTCTCCAGTGTTCGTAACCATTTTCCATGCTTTTATATCCTGTCATCTTTAAGTTTCTGCCATAGAGAGCAGACAGTCAGTATTTATTAAGTGGAGTCATACAAATGTCTCTCTTTTATAGCCTGGCAGGCTACACTAACCTGTAAATCTTCCATATTCGTCCATTTTCTATCAAATGCTACGGTCTTGGGTTTTTTTATATGGCTTTGTAGTACCCAATTTCTATTTTTACTTTCATTATGTATCATTTCAAATATGTGCAAAAGTACATATTGCAGTATGGAATAAAGAAACTCCTTGTTCCCATCACCTAATTACATTAATTATCAATTCATGGTCAAGCTTGTTCCATTTATATCCCCAACTACTTTTTACCACCTCATATTGTTTTTAAACCTCAGCTAGTATATCATTTTGTCTTTGATTATTTTAGTACATACATCTAAATTTTTCTTTTTAAAATGTAATGACAATGTCATTATCACATCTAAAAATTAATGATAATTCCTTGATACAACTGAGAAATCGACATGTGTTAAAATTTTCTGATTATTTTACAGTTTGCTTGACTTAGGATCCACATATGAACCAACCATTGTCACTGGTTGGTATGCGTTTTTTAAGCCAGTTTTAACCTATATGTCCTATCATTCCATTTCATCCCTTGTACTTTGTCATTGAATAATCAGGTTCTGTGTCCTGAAGAATTTTCTTCACTGATTTTGTTTATTGTGTACTTGTGATAGGTTTAGTATGTTCCTCTAACTTTTGTATTTACTGTAAGTTGATGGTTGTGTCTAGAAAGCATTATCTTTTTTAAAGCAAGTAAGCTTTAACTTCTTTTAAAAAGTCGTTGGATTGAGCTACTATTTCAAACTTGGAAAAATTTATGTCTCTCTGCTAGAGAAGCTGATGTAGACTAAAGATTATAGAGTAGTGATGGTGCAAGCCAGTAAGTGTAACTTCAGGGCAGTCAGCATTGTTCTGTTTACACTTTAGGACATTTGACTCTGATGAGCGATTTGACTCTTTTTCAAGTAAAAGAAGGCATTAGTTATTAAACCAGGAAGAAAAGTTTTTACACGTGTCATTTGGACTGGGAGGAGCCCCAAGAACCTCTATGGCACTGTCTGGATATGGGAATGAGGCCAAACACAGTAAATTATGTATGTAATGGACAAGTTGCATGAGAGACCAGGCAAAAAGCCATTGTTGGATTTGGTGAAGCAGAGGAGGTTAAGGGATAAGGTTTATAGCTTCATTGTATGCACTTAATTAGTACCTAATATCTACTTCCATTCGTAGTGGAGGATTGGGTATATCCGTCCTGTGAGTGGGTGATTCAGGACCCTGGACAGCTCGTTGAGGGCGCGGTAGCTAGGTCAGCCATTGTTAATTCGCCTTATTTGAAAACTTTTAAAATAAGTTTTATATTTAAGGTACAAAACTATATATAGTTTTATATACATATATGTGTGAGTGTGTGTGTGTGTGTGTACTGTTAGTTATATGTATATGATTATATATATAATAACTACATATATAAGATTATATATACAAATAACTAGTTATATATAGTTATATATAAATAACTAAATATATATGGTTCTACTCATAAATAATAACAATACTGAATCAAATTAACATATAGATCATCTCACATAATTATCTTTTTGTTTACTTTTGTGGCAAGAGCAACTAGTATCTACTCATTTAGAAGGTATCCCAAATACATCATAATTTTATTAGCTATAGCCTTTGCTCCATATATTATAAATCTAGATTTATTAACCCTGCATATCTGCTACATTGTAACCTCTACCTTACCTCTTCCCATTTCTCCATCCCACCCCCTGTCCATGATAAGCACTAGTTTGTTTTCTCTCTCTGTAGATTTGACCCTTTTATTTAAAAAGATGTAATATATAAGTAAAAGAACACCATATTTTTCTTTATATATCTAGTTTATTTCCTTTAGCATAATGTCCTTCAAGTTCATCTATAGAAATATTTCCTTTTTAAAGCTCAAATACTATAGAGCGTGTGTATTTAATTTTTTTAATCCACTCAATTTTTTGACAGGCACTGAGGTCATTTTCATATTTTGGTTATTGTGAAAAATGCTGCGATGGCAATGGGATCACAGATATCTTTAAGAGGTACTGACTTAATTTCATTTGGGCGTATGCCAAAAGAAGGATTACATGGTCATATGGTAGTTCCATTTTATATTTATTTAGGAACCGCCTCCTTTTCTTTATTTTTCTATAATGACTGTACTATTCTACAATTCTAGCAAAGGAAAAAGAGTTCTCTTTCCTCTACAGCCTCACCAGCAACTGTTAACTCCTGACTTTTTGATAATAGTAATCTTATCAGGTATATGGTAATATCTCATAGTGATTTTGACTTTCATTTTTCTAATGCTGAATGATATTGAGCACTTTTTTATATACCTGTGGTTGTAGTTATGCCTTCTTTGGCAAAATATCTATACAGGTCCTTTGTCCATTTTTAAATTGAAGTTTTTCTTCTACTACTGAGTTGTATTAATTCTTTATAAATGTTAAGTATTAACTGTTGCCATATATGTGGCTTGCAGGTATTTTCTAGTACATGTACTGCTGCTTCATTTTAATGCTTGTTTCCTTTGCTGTGCAGATGCTTTTTAGTTTGAAGTAATCCCATCTGTTTATTTTTGCTTTTGCAGTCTGAGCTTTTGATGTGATTTCTAGAAAATCATTGCCAAAGTGAATGTGAAGAAGCTGTTCCCTATGTGCTCATTTAGGAGTTCTAGAATTTAACTCTTAAATTCAGGTCCTTTATTTCTTTTGAGTTGATTTTTGTGCATAGTTTAAGATAAGGATCCAGTCTCACTCTTTGGCATGTGGGCATTCGATTTTCTCAGCACCGTTTATTATCTCACCCACTGTGTCCTCTTCATGCGGTTGATGAAAACTAGTTGATGATTGTGTTTAGGTTGATTTCTGGGCCCTCTATTCCATTCCACCAGTCTACGTGTCTTTTCTATGCCAGTCTAATACTGTAATGATTACTATAATTTACAATGTAATTTTAAGAGGTTTTTGCTATAGGGCACATGCACTCACCAGAGAGAGAGGCAGAGATAGAAATGGCAAGGGGGAAGGTGAGAAATCACCCCTCAAGGGAGATGGTCACTCTGCAATTCATTCTCCTCCATCCTCCTCCTGGCATCTGGGGTACGCACACACAAACTCCCAGTGTGATTCTCAAGAGACCAGATCTGGGACTCAAATCATGGACAGGTATGTGGGAGTTCAACGACGTAACCTCTATGTCATCTTCTGGCCCTTAAAATTTTAAATTAGACACTAAATTGTTTGGGATAAGTTTTTACCTTAAACATCACCCTTTATAGGCAAACTCTAAATGAGGGCCACCTGTTCACATGACTTTTTAAAAAAATCATAATTATTCCAGAAATAGAGAAGAATCATAGAGCAATAATTTGAGAAACATTCCAAATATATTCCAGATTATAAGACGGTGTTAGTATGATTATGGGAAGAATCCTAATTCATTATACTTCATTAAGTAATGATACTACTTTTCAGAAAAAAATTAATGAAAGTCACTTTATTACAAGTAAGTTAAAGAATTTAATATAATCATAAGTTTATAAATGTAGGATAATTCTGGAAATTTACTATCTCATCAGTGGAATGATTTATTTGACGTAAAGATAATCAGGTAAATTTCTTTTGTTAGATTAATAGTTTTTTGTTGTTGTTGCATTTTTATGTAAGACCAAAATGGATAATTTTGTGTAGTAACTCAGTAACCAAGGAGTGTGATTGCTGGGCCATCACATGAGATTATTTTATGTGGGTCTCACACAAGATTAATAGATTTTTGTTGTTACAATTATGTTTTACATTTTTATACCTGATCTAAAACATGTGCTAAACATTCTATCGCAATCTAATCTAAGGAAGAGAGGCATGCATATGGGTTCATTAAAATATCTATCTGGACATCTATATTAATTGAGCCCCAGTTTCCCTGCCAAACCCCCAGCTGTGTTGACACAGCCCTGCTTCTTCCTGTCTGTGAGGGAGCCCCTCCCCTAGGGGCACTGTCTCCTGTTGAGGTTTCTGTAGGGCTCCTGCAGGCACCCACATCTCTGTGTTCTCTCAGAGCACAGAAATACACTGCGGAGTCAGTGAGCTGTGAGGCCGAGATGGTGAGGTTGATGGAACGGGCTGATTTCAGGAAGGTCAGAAAATACCGACCCTCTGATGTATTCTTCTCATTATAAGAGTCCTGACGAATAAGAGCAATCATTTCCCCAGAGGGCGGCTGTTTGTACCAGAATAAGTAATAAGTAGTATCACTGGTTTCATATCCACAGCCCAAGGTCACACTTCCCTTCTCCATCACTGAAGTTGCAGTCTGGGCTTGAGTTACCGTCTGGGCCATGCTGGAGCCTGCAGGAAAGAGAAAACAAATAGACTTATCCCCACCTCCAGCCAAGGGGACATAAGGGATGATGTGGCTTAGACTCAGCCACCTGCTTTCATTGCCCAGGAGGCCTCCCCACCAGGACCCCTTAGACTACAGTGATCTCCTCTCTGACAACTCTCAGAGCTGCTGGAGCCTGAGTCCTGTGTTTGTGGTCGCCCTTACTGAGACAGATGGAGGCCATGACTGTCCTCAGCAGGCTGGAGGTCAGCACGCTGGTAGCTCTTCCCTCTAGTGCCATGTCCTGTGTTCTAGCTCAAATCCGGATCGTAATTCTGCACCCTGTCTTCCAGAGCACTACACAGTTGCTGGGCGTTGTGATGCTTCTGCCTCACACAGGAAGCACAGTGTGCAGAAGTAGGACAGGGGTGCCTGTGTCACGTCACATGCTTCTGGTATAAGTGGAAACTGTTAGTCTTCCCTGAGCATCTATTTTGTCTTGTTATACCTTATCAGATTGGAAACAAACAGAACTAAACCTAAATCATTTCATTCTTTTTGGTGGAGAATGTGGGACTTAAATAGAATACAATTGGTTTGAAACTATTGGGAATCCATGGGATAATATAGACATGCACCTTTTGATCTTATATACACATTGTTTTTTTGTTTGTTTGTTTGTTTGTTTTTCCAAACGGAGTCTAGGTTAAAAGGAATCACAGAGTTGTGACCATGTAAGCAGGAAGACAAAACTTTTAGTCTCAGTTTTTGTGCTTCTCTTGCTAATCATGGAATCTAGTAACACTTACATTTGAAATATTTGATTGTTCATGAATAATTTCACATCCCATTCCTTGAGTCACAAAATCTATCAAGTGTGTGTGCCATGCCAAGTAACAATAAGAAAAAAACATATGCGAGCATATAGGCATGCACATTGTGTGTGTTGTATGTGTTCGTGTGTCTATATGCATGTGAACAAAAATAAATTTACAAAATTCTACTCAGTGTCCAAATGCAGGAATCTGTTATAACTCAATACAAGCATCCCTGTAAAATCCTAATGCGTTTTCAAACCACATACATTAATTCAAATGAATAGTGGGATGAGTAAAAATCTCTAAAAATTTACAACTTGGTAACCAGAGAATGATCAAAAACAATAGAAATCCTATTTAAAATATGTGCAGAGTTCAATCTTCACTAGCACTTATCACTCACATCACAGTCGATAAACTTTACACAGACTTAAATAGTGAACTGGTGTTTTACTCTCTAGATATAGATCCATGGGGCCATGTATTTCCAAGATAAGGTTCATAAAAGTTTTAAATGCATTGTTCTTTAGAAATCGTTATTTCTACCAACAGAAATGAGAATAGCCGCACACACTCCTCAAGGAGTGTGATTGCTGGCCATATGGTAAGAGCATATCGATGTTTGTAAGACGTTGCTAAATCATCTCTCCCAGTGGCTCTACCATTTTGCATTCCCACCCACAATGAATGAGGATTCCGGCTGCTTCCCATCCTCACTAGCATTGGTGAAGCAAGTGTTCTGGATTTGAGGAATTCTAACAGGTGTGCAGAGCTAGCTGGTATCTCAATTGTTTTAACTTCCACTTTTTTGATGACTTATGATTTGGCTTTGACATAACCAAACCCAAAGTCTTCTGAATTTTCCCCTAAATTAACTCTTAGGATTTTCATAGTTTTATATTTCACATTATATTCTAGGATTTTTATTGCATTTTGCATTTGTATTTTACATTTAGGTCTCTCATCCATTTTGAGTTAATTCATATAAAGGGTATAAGATTAGTGTCTGCATTCTTTTCGTTTGGTTTTGGTTTTACATGGGCTGTCCATTTGCTCCAGCATCATCTGTTGAAAAGACTACCTTTTCTTTATTGCATGGATTTCTTATTCAAAAATTAGTTTGTTATATTTGTGTGGAATTATTTCTGGACTCTCTATGCTGTTCATTGGTCTATTTATTTGTTCTTTCATCAGTGCCACATTTTCTTTGTTTTTTAAATTTCTTTTTTAAAGAATTATTTTATTTAGTTTTCTTTATTTTAATTTGACTAGAGAGGAACAGAGAGAGAGAGAACATGAGAAAGCAAACCACCAGGTCCAGAACTTGAACCACGGCCATGTGGGAGTCAACACCCTTAACCACCATGCCACCTGCTGGCCCCATGCCACATGTTCTTAATTGCTTAGGTTCACAGTAAGTTTTAAAGTTGAGCAAGGTCAGCCCTCTGCTTTGTTCTTCTTCCTCAAAATTATTGTAGCTCTACTAGTTTGTTTTTTCCTTTCCATATGAACATTGGAATCAGTTCATTGATAATCCACAAAACAACTTTCAGGGATTTGGGTTGGAATTGCATTGCATATGTGGGTACTGTTGACGTAGAGAAATCTCTCCTCAGGATGCTCTCCCCACAGGACTTGCTGGCCAGCACCACTTCTAGCAACACAGGGAAGGGAAGGAATGTCCAGGGAGGAATGAGGAAACTATCACTGGAGAGAGGGTTTCTACCGTGAAAACCAGCAAAACATCCAATCCTGGTCAATGCCATACATTATTCCATTCATTATTTTACCTCAACATTTTTACTAAAAAGTTTACTAAAAGTGTCTTTTCCTAGCCCTGCAGCTCCTTGGGATCTTAGACACATGCCTGTTAGTGTGACTGCAAACTGATCTGAGGATCCAAACTGTAGTCGGCCACGTGGCTCCCAGCACTGCAATTCAGCAGGCTCAAGACTGTACCACTGGGTCGGGCCCTCTGTCACCTTTTTAAGAAGGAACAGGACAACCTGGCTTCCTTAGGTCTCCCCAGTCTCAGAATGTAATGTCCATTCACACCCTGTATTGGCAGTTTGAAGTATCTTGGGGTATACTGAGAGCACAAAAAGCATGGTCTGAGATCTCTTGGCACTTTCCCCCCTGCTTCTGGGATGTGCCCCTCCACTTTGCCTGGAGAACTCCTCTTCATTCTTTAAGAGCCCTGTACATGCCACTTTCTTGTGAAAGCACTCGCCCATCCCTTGAGGCAGACAGCGTCCACCACACCGGGTACATACCTGCCATCGTCCTTACCACGTTAGAATTCTCTGTGCCGGTATCTCAGGCTACACTTGGTGCTCCTGAGATTAGGAACTTAATCTAAGTATCAGTGGCCCATTTCTTAAAATATCTAAGTCCTTAGCTCATAGGAGATATTTTTTAAAAGTCTAAAGATTGAGTGAATAACTAAATGAACAGGCACATTCTCCAGGTGAAATTATCTTTCAGTGTACCACAGTCTGTGTGAGAGGGTGTGTCTTGGGTCTCTGGTGTGACCAGCTTCTCCCAGGGGCAGCTCCAGGACCTGGATACTAGGATATACAGTGTTTCTCAAAAGTGAGTAAGGTATAGATCTCATAAGGGACTGCACTGATACTCTTTTTAAAAATATTATGACTTCATATACACGATAATAAAATGGGTAATCTTTTTAAGCTTGCAGATTTGACATAATTACCAAATCAGACAAAAATGCAAACAAAATACAAAATCAATAAAATTCAAATAAAAACTGAGAGATTATCTTTCACTGAAATTAAAGTATGGACTTGGGGCCAGCAGGTGGTGTGATGGTTAATGGCACTGGACTCCCACAAGACTGGTTCAAGACCTGGACCTGGCAACTTGCTTTCTCTGTTTCTTTCTCTCTCTCTTTCTCTTCCCCCCTCCCTCTCCCTCTCTCTCTCTCTCCCTCTCTGGTCAAATTTAAATAAATTAATTAATAAGGTTAAATAAAATAATTCTTTGAAAAAATGCTTTAAAAAAAAAGATTTAGTGTGGACTTCTTAAAAGAATATTATGGGGCCAGCCCATGGCATGGTGGTTAAGGTGGCTGAATCCACATGACCAACTGCATGGTTCAAGTTCAGGACTCGGCGACTTGGGAAACATACCAGGCACACATGTGTGCATTTCCAAAATCCTGAAATATGGAAGCAAAGGGGAAGGGACTGTGGCATGACCATTCCACATGGCAGGGTGAGAAGCCATGCTTTCTTATTTTCTCTCTCTTTCTCTCCAGGAAGCGCACATGCTCTCTGGCAAATTTTTTTTAAATGAATAAATAAAATGTCCTGGATGTTGTTAAAGTGATTTGGTGGCCAGCAGATGATGTGGTGGTTAAGGAGATGGATTTCTGCATAGCTGACCACAGTTTGAGTCCTAGACCTGATGGCTTGAAAATCACACCGGGCTCCTGTGCATGCGTGCTCAAAATCCCAAGAAAAGAAAGGAGGATCATGGCATGGCCATCTCCCCTGGGAATAATTTCTTACTCTCCCTCCTTCTGGAAAATACACTTGTCTTTTGGCAAAAACCTTCAGAAAAAAAAAAGAAATAAGAAAGTGATTTGGATATTCGATGTACTATTTTCTGAGTCACTGTTATTAGTGACTGCTGAATTTTTTTTTACTTTTCCTATTCAAAAATATTTATGTAAGGCCTCATTATATAATTTTGTATTTTAATAAAGCACCCACAAAGTCAGCACTGCAAAAATATATAATGTACATTTACTGTTTTCCTTATGTCTACTGAATTGCATATTGATATACACAAGAACGAATACAAGCAATATATCTTTCAAAAGAAAGATGGTCATTGTGATGCTAATACAGAGTCTTTGGCATCTGGCTTTCCTCTAAATGTATGTGCTAGCTCACAGCCAAAATTTTCTAAAAACTTTTCTCCTTTGGTTTTTGCCGTAGAGTGAATGCACGTGCCAGAGAGAGACAGAAAGAAACAGAGAGAGGGAAAGTGAGAACTCACTAAAGTATGCCCATCAGCACAACTGCTCTACTTTTCTCCACAAACACATTTTCAGATGTATTAAAGCTGCATCAAGAAAACTATAGTCAACATTTATTAATCTAAAGAAGGAAGAATAAATGGGTGGAAAACTTACGTATTTAATAATAGGAGTGTCTGCTTTCAAAACACAGCATCCCATGATCTCGTAATGGAGAATGGAGAACATACATTTATCCCTTGGGTGGGGAAAAATTATGACTTTCTTATGAGTTCCTGCTTTACTAATGGAGAAATCGAGGCTTTGAAATCACATAATTAGTAAACAGCAGTCATGTTCAGATCTTTGTCTTTATTACTCCAAAGATTGAGATCTTTGTCTCTCTCATAACGCAGTGATTCCATTCCTCAGCTATAAAGTGAAGAGTTTGGTTAAATGAGTTTCAATACTCTTTGAATGCTAATTCCTGGTAAATCCGCTATTTCCCATGCAGGAACTGGAAGAATGTTAGAATCATCTCAGAAACCTCAAAGACCCACCTAGGCCTTGAAAGCAGGGCTGCACGTGGGAGAGCTGAAACCCCCTACCACGGAGTAGTCCTCATCTCCTGCACGTACCCAGTCATTATTATTGTTCCTGATAAATTAGAGCTCGAAGGTCCATTTGGGCTCATTGATCCAAATCCTTTACTCCAAGGGAGGAAATCCTGCCACACTGACACTGAGCCAGGATTGGCAGAACGGAACCTTACATTGCAGTCACCCGTTCCTAATTTCATGCTCTGCCCTAGTCCAAGAGACTTCAGGGGAAAAAATCAAAATGTTGAACGGACCCCATCTGTAGACCCTCCTTTGTGGGACAACATAACCCCCAACCGTACCCGTTGTTAGGGCCTAAGCAGCAGCTCTGGCAGGGTTTGCACAGGGCTGCAGTTGCCTGTGTGTCCGCAGCGCAGACGGAAGCAGCAGAGTCTGAAACCGGCATCCGTGATGCACAAGGAGCTGCTCTCGACGGTGGTGTCGAGCATGCCTCTCAGCCTTCCGCTATGTTTCTTTCATTTGAACGTATTAGAATTAGAGCAAGGCCTCTACCCAAATCTTGTTTATACACTGTAAGTTGCTTATACCGGCTGTACAATTGCAGTTCATGGAGACATTTTCGCCCTCCTGGATGCTCAGGTACTGAGGATTCTCTTCTCCTTGGCCACTCACGCCTAGGCAGAGACACACACCAAAGAAAGAGTCAATCATTTCTTTTCCAAACTAACAAGAAGACTTTATCCTTCCCTTATGTGGGCTCTGAACTTTGGTCCCTCTGTTCCCATTACCCTGAGCCCCAACTCACTGGCCAGCTGAAGACATAGAATCACAAAAGGCCCTCCCAGGAGTATTTCCATTCTTTTTGCTTATTGGGATCACAGACACTCAGCTCTGGGGCCTGCACTAGAGCCAGGTTCCTCAATCAGAAAAGGTAGCTCTCTTCACTGCCTGTGTACCCAGAGCCTGAGGTTTCTCACCTTGCCAGTCAGAGGCAAGTTCAGCCCTTGGCTTAGTTTTGCACAGCGCATGCTCATTTCAAACCAAGGGAGTCGAAGAAGAGAGAGACACTGCCCTCTGGTGGCGGCAGCAGCCCACAGACTGTGCTCTGGAGTGGTGGAGCTGATTCGGGAGAAATTACAAAGCTATTCCACTCTCCACCTTTGCTGAACTCTAGCTCAAGCTTAGAGCAAGAACAGACACAGTTGGTTTCTGGTAAGAACTCCATGAAGAAAGAACGTTGGTGCCTAATATTTACAGAATACATCAGCCAAATACCATTAGGTTTTTGTACAGTTACTACAATCTCTGATACTGTAATGAGGAGCTTTCTTTTTTTTTTTTAAGTTTGCCTATTGTTGGAATGTTCTCTAGAAGTCCAGAAGGTGGCGTGGTAGTTAAGGTGCTGGACTCCTACATTACCAACTGTGATTTGAGTCCCAGACCTGGCAGCTTGCTTTCTTATCTACCCTCTCTCTCTCTCTTTCTCTCTCTCTCTCTCTCTCTCTCTCTCTCTTTCTCTCTGTCTCTGTCTCTGTCTCTTTCTGTCTCTCTAGTGAGTGCATGTGCCCTATAGCAAAATTTAAAAATAATAATAATAAATAAGTAAAATAAAATAAAAAATTCTAAGAAAAATGCGTTCTCTAGTTTGGATAACCCCATCAGAATTAATGTAATCATTAATACTGTGAACTTAGTAATAGGGGTCTATTTTATTAAGTCTTTTGCTAATGTTCTTTGAAAGATTGAGAATATTTGTTATGTTTATCATTTTATATCATAAATTAGTATGACTTAAAATCTAAATACCTCAGAGTTTTTAGTACTTTTATCTACTATATATGACATATTTTTGTGGGTCAGTTGACTTAAATTTTTTTTTTTGAGAGATTTTCACTGTAGGGCGCGTGTGCTCGCCAGACAGACAGACAGAGACATAGAGACAGAAAGCGAGAAATCACCCCCCAGAGGGGATGGTCACGCCGCAATCCCTTCTCCTCCATTCTCCTCTCGGGATCTTGGGCACGCATGCACACGCGCCCGGCGTGAGTTTTAAGCCACCAGGTCCGGGACACGAACCGCGGTCGACTACGTGGGAGTCCAGCGACATAGCCATTACGCTAACTGCTGGTTCCCAATTGCCTTAAATTTTTTATGTGAAAATCACTGGAATAATTTTCAAAGAAAGATTACTGCTAGATAGGTTTTAGATTTTCAGTAAAAATAATGTTTGTCCAAGATCTTTCCAGCTCAGTTGGACAGGTGTGGAGATGCTTCGGAAGACACCATGGCCACACAGGGAGAGCCCCAGGTCCAGTTTGTACTGGAGTTGGTTGGTGACCGGGAAGGCCATGTTCATGAAACATCACCTGACCAAGGAGTTGGAGAAGTATGTAGCCACCCTGGACGTGAAGGTCCACCCACTCATTTTACACACACACACACACACACACACACACACACACACACAGGCCTATAAGTTCAACGTGTAGGACAGGTCGGCCAGGAGAAGTTCGCAGCCTGAGGGACGGCTACTATATCCAAGCCAGTGTGCCATCAGCATGTCGACATAACATCAAGGGTGACTTACAGGAATGTGCCTAAATGGCATAGAAAATTGGTCCCACTGTGTGAGCACATCCCCATTGTGCCGTGTGGCAACAAAGTGGGCATTAAGGAGAGGAAAGTGAGGGCAAAATCCATTGTTTTGCACAGAAAGAAGAATCTTCTACTGTGATATTTCTGCCAAAAGTAACCACAACTTTGAAGAGCCCTTCCTCTGCTGTCTAGGAAGCTCACTGGAGACCCTAACTTGGAGTTGGTCACCATGCCTGCTTTCCCCAGCCAGAGGGCATCGTGGACCCAGCTCTGGCAGCGCAGTGTGAGCAGAACCTAGAGGTTGCTCAGAAAACTGCTCTCCAGGGTGAGAAGGTGACCTGTGAGAATGGAGCTGGAGCCCCACTTCAGAATCTAGTTTTGTAGGCAACTGCCCTGTGATATCAGCATGCAGTGTGTGCCACTTGTTATAAGCAGAACGTGAGCTTCATCTGTGGGATGCTGAAGGAGACCAATGGGCTTTGGAGTGGACATGGCAGTTAAAAATACCTTCATTTTTGGACCTGCATATTTAGCTGTTTTGAAATGCAATAGTTTCCTTATTGAGTTTCAAATAGAAGACTGCTACCATCACATCCCAATACTCAATGGCAAAACTTATTACTGTCATTCCCATTTTCTTTAGTGTCAGAATAAAGTTGTAGTTCAAATATCAAGAAGGAAGGAAGGAAGGAAGAAAGAAAGAGAAAAAAAGAAAGAAAGAAAGAAAGAAAGAAAGAGAGGGAGGGAGGGAGAGAGGGAGGGAGGGAGGGAGAGAGAGAGAGAAAGAGAGTCCAATTTGTTGATTTGTGTAATGGTCACACATTTTAAAATGTAGATATTTGGCCTAAATTATTTTGAAATATGTAAACATTACAAAATGGGATGTTATCTATGTGCCAGGTGTCGAGTTTCAAATCTAGGTTGAGACAGCCTAACTGAGAGCCCATGCTGTATAGTTGACCTGACTGAGAATCGGTGCTGCACTGGGCATCGGCTAAGCTTACAACCAAGCGCTGCAGTTACCCACTGAAGTGTGGACCTGGTGTATTGGTAACACCTGAGGCAATGGTGATTGTCATAATGATGCTAGAATGAATTTTTTTTATTAAAATGCTGTTTCCTATTTTACTTCAGACCTCTGACACGTCATGATGGACTCTCATTGAAGTGTGGGGGTAGAGTGGGAGTTGGGGCTGGGGCATCCTTCCTGGAGAAATTCATCAGAAGACTTCTGTCTGGTACAAAATGCATCTGGCTCAGCCCAACCTGCCCTTTGTTGTCACAGTAAAAGAGACCTTCTTAAAAACTCCACAGATTGAGTTCTTGGGTCACACAAAGTCCCTTGTTTCAGGTTTGTGTTCAGCTCCCCTTGCAGTCCCAGGCACTGTGTCACTCAGAGCACAGAAGTACTCAGCGGAGTCGCTCAGATGCGCTGAGGGTTTCTCCAGGTGGAAGGAGGTTTCACTCTTCCTAATTTCAGCCTGGAAACCGTTGATGCCTTTAACCACTGTAGCCCCCACAAAGTAATTCAGGACAAGCTGGAGTCCTCTGTTGGGGTATTGCACATACCAGAAGAGATACGGGGAAACAGAGGATGAGTAGTTGCACCTCAGCTCCAGCCGGGCTCCTTCAGAGACGGAGACAGAGCGGTCAGGCTGGGTCACTGACTGGGCTCCGGTTCCTCCTGCAATGTAACGCTGTGTAAGCAAGGGCAGCACAAGCTCGGCTAGGAGATGTCACTAGATCTAACTAGAAGGCAGTCACTCTTATAGAAGGAGGAACGGAAAAGAAATACTACTCACTCAGGGCAAAAACGATCTCAAGCACCGGGATGAGCATCAGGAGCATGGCGGAGCCACAGTGACGCTGCTGGACCCTGAGCAGGTGGACAAGAGCAGAGTTAACGGAGCCTCGGGAGCTAGAAGGAATGGGGAGCCTGGGTTGGGCAGGTCTCTTGCTTTAACAAGTTACAAAATCGTTGAGAAAGAGGCGGTCCCTTAAAGAATCTGAATGCTTTCTGGCCTCCTGTTCTCATATTGTCTACACAGACTGCAATTGAGAACACATCAGCCAGCTGCAGGCAGGAGAGACTCAGCCAATGAAGATCCCCAGAACAGAAGTCTTCTTTGAGCAACGTCGCCCTCTGGAGGTCGGAGGCAGCACCACGGATCCAAGAGAGCCGTTTCCCTCTCCCTACAGAGGTGACACCAAAATTTACAATGTGTTTCTTTCTTCCCATATCATTGATGATGTTACACTCTGTGGTACACGGTATTAATCTGAAAATACATGAAAAAAAAGAGTTATATGAAAACAGAAGAGTAGTTCACTGAGAAATTAATCGCAGAAGACAGCATTCTAGTCGTTGGAATACCAGTGGTAAAGCCATGCATCTGGGAGAGGGGCGAGATGGGTTGGCCCGTGCTGCTAGATGTGAGTATCACAGGGAGGAAAAGGGATTATTCCTCTTTCTGTTGCTAAAGAAACAGATTAGAGACTCATATTTAAAATTAGCCTAGAACACATGTCATTAATTAATTAATCAATGCAAACTAATAAAGGGAATAATTTTCAATGTCTAGCAAAAAAATTGATGAAGACTCTGGTTTCAGGAAGAAAAAGATTGCTAATTCTTAAGGCTACAAGAAAATAAGTTAGATACCATATGTTGCTTTCCTCCTTTTTTATTGATTTATAATAATTAACATATATATGGGGTACAATGTGATGATTCAGAACAAGAATACGATGTATAATGATCAAATCTGTGTAATTTGCGTATTCATCATCTTGATGGT